AAGAAAAAATACTGACACTTTAATTTAGTGGAGAAAAGCATAACAATAGCAGTGGCTGGAAGCTGAATTTCAGATGGATTTCTAATTTGAATTTGACACAGTTCTTAATGGTGAAGGTGGTTAACCCATGGAACAAACTCCCATTGATCAAACTGGATGCCTTTCTGGAACACATGCTTCAGTCAAACACTTTATTGAAATCAATATAGGGTTACCGGGATATGCAGGAATGGCTTCTTCTGGCCTTTTCCTGCAACTGTAACACAGATGATAATTCATCTGATGATGCATAAATTAAAAGAGAATCCAGCTCTCTCCCTTGTTTTGTGACTGTTTTGCAGGACTGACAAGATCACAAGGAGTGAAAAACGTATTTTAGTCAGAAAAGTAAGACAATACAGAATAAAGAGAGACAACAAACATTTGTGGTGTAGGAAGGTGACAATTTCAGAATCCCTTTTTGACTACAACCATTCTTAAAGTTACTAGGCCATTGCACTGAAATCAGACAAACTATTGCTATTTCACAGGTGTTTTCCTTCACTGCTCCCTATTTACAGGAACAATGGAAAAAAACTCTATTCACAACTAACTAGACACTACTGAAAAGATTACAGCTTTTGCACTTAAAAAGTTCACATCGTATTTGGCTATGTACACCTCTGTTCCTTACTAGTGAATGATAATTAGAATGTGAACTATTGAAAGATTACATCATTCTAGCTGAGAGAACTCTACTGAGTCATATAGGTGTCTGATGAGAAGATAAAAAACTGAGTGTTTTAAAACAGGACAATTAAATATCCTAGACAACACCTCCCCCTTCTTCTCAAAGGTTCTCTGCCTCACCAGGCAACTTCCTAGATTGCGTAAATAAACTCTCTTTAGACCCAGTCATCTGGGTCTCATGATCATATGCAGATTAAAATAAACAATTCTCTCCTCTCTACCCTGATTTCTCAGCACTTGCATGTGGAAAAAACAGCATCTCCACCTTTATCTAAGCTAGTGGTCCCCAAACGTTTTACCTCACACTTCCTCTTACCCCAGTCCACCCCTTCCCGTGGAGTCAGGAGCAGGGCCATGGCTCCAGGATGGGGGGATGTGGAAAGGGGTAAGGAGGCTGAACCTGGAGCCACTGCTGGGTGAGGGAACAGAGTCTTGGCTATAGGCCTAGGTGTGGCCAGATGGGACCCAGGTGAGGGGCCAGCAGCTGGGCCAGGTGTGGAGCTAGATAGTACTCCATCCCTGCTCCTTATGGGGGCTGGCTTGAGTCCCAGCTGTGTCTTCCCCAAACAACTGTCCCATGCTCCCCTATATGGGTGTGACTGAAGAGCTCTGATCTAAGCCAAGGCAACCCTTACTCTATTATGGCTGTTCACCTTTCTCTTTTGGGTTCTCTCAGAAAATGAAAAACAGCTGGCTGGCTGAGAGTAGTACCCTACTATCATTCTTTGGTCAGGTAGTATTCAATTACCTCTCTCAGCTATTTTATTCATCTGTGCCTAAATTTTCCTTCTGAGTTAAAGTCTTCCCCATTAAAGCCATTTTTGAACCCCAGTAATGAAACTAAAAGCTAGACTTTAACAACAGGAGTATGACACTAAACAAAATAGGCAAAGGAATTTGTTTATAGACTACAGGCAGTCCCCGAGTTATGTGGATCTGACTTAAGTCGGATCCCTACATACGAACGGGGCTTTTCCCGCCGCGGAGGATGCGGGTGGCGGGACTGCCCAGACGCGCTGTGGTCCCGCCGCCTGCGTCCTCCGTGGCAAGAAAAGCTGCTCCACGTCTCCCTGGTCTGCAGACCAGGAAGACGCGGAGCAAAGCCGCAGAGGGGCTCCGGCAGCGGGGCAGCCCAGACGCGCCGCGGCTGTCCCGCTGCCGGCATCCTCAAAGGCTTTGCTCCCGGGGTCCCCGGGCTGCTGGAGGCAGCTGGCCAGCCGCCAG